CATCCCAGGATGGACCTCAGCATCACAGGCAGCTGCAGGGCGCCTCGCCGTCCACGAGTAGCCGCGGACCAAGCGTAAAGAGGTCCCAGGAAGGGGCGTTCCCAGGATAAGGCATTTGCCTAAATCCCAGTCGCCCCAATCCGCACGCAAAGTCATCCCACGTGACCTTCCCCTCCGTGGAGATCCGCGCAGTCCACTCGGCAAGCCAGGCCGCCCGCCTCTCGGAGATGCCCAGCTTGAAGGTCCCGTAGGCGGTCTCATAGCCCACCCACTGGACGTTCAGTCCCCCCTTTGTCTTTGACCACTTGAAGGGGAAGCCAAGGCACGCCAGGATCGCGTACGAGAGGACAATGCCCCTCCGGCCTCTCCGATCTCCCCCGATGATCTCCACATCATCGGCGTACAACAGAAGCTCGAGGGCCCTTCTTCCGGTCAAGTGATGGACCAGTCTGACAGACCCCCCCGAGATTCTTGCCCACCAGTAGCCCGCGCATGCTAAGCCGAAGGTGCCTACGCAATTGATGTACACGAAGTCGCCCCGAGAGGATGCCTTTCAGCCCAAGTACCCCCACTCGTCCCGACGATGTCGGTACCTCCTGTGCGCCTTCCCCGGTGACCGCCATGGGCGCAAGACGTTCCTCCCGAAGGTGGCGGAGAAGATGCCGTTTCTCTCGCGCTCCTGGCGATCGCACCTTGTCCAAGCAGCGTATTCTATGGTTTAGAAGAACGTCATGTGAGGCATCGTGCACCACCCGCTTCTTATCTGGCGGCCCCTCCTCGACTATCACCGCGATGGCCGACCCAGGCGACCACATCATCATAAAAGGGAAGCCCCAACTCATCGACAAGTTGCTGTGCTACCCCCTCCGCATCTTCGGGCTCCAGGATAGCCAGGTTATCGCCCCAGAGCCCCACTGACTGAAGTTTACTAGCGAATCTCTGCTCAGCCTCAGGGTCCATGGAGCGCCGCGGCCAAGGCCATGAGACCCCCCGCTACACCGAGCGCGACCAAGGTCGCGGACTACGAAGCTCACTCGAGCTTCAAATCTCACCACTTGACCCTGAGGCTACGAATCGGTAAACATGTTTGTCATGTTCACAAGCAGCCAATAAATCACTCAAAAAGGGTTCCTACAAACAAAATCCAAAACTTCCAAAAATCGCAAAAGTAGAATCACTACTTTTTGCACGCAACAAAAGAGATGCACGAAGTGCATCAAAGCACATGGGTTTGAGAGGGCACACACACTGACGCAACAAGTCGCGAACGCGAACCGATCAAAATTATCAGTAAACAGTCCTTGGTGCAGTGTCCGATGATACATGTGCAATGAGATCCAACAGGCATCATATTATGCACAGTCCCCCAGTAGCCAACAGGCACAATTCGGGAAAGCTCGCACTGGTCAAAGTGCAAGTCAATCGTCTGATTTGCGACATGACAGAGAGTCCTGCAATACGTCCTGAAGTGGTAGTTCGCCTCGGTGATGACGTCACCTTGTCCTTCAATCTCACTCTCTTCCAATGCTCCTGAACACTCGAGCAGTTGAACCGAATGATAACGAATCACAGAATAAAGGACGATATTGTGAGAACGACAATCGGCAAAATTGATTGACATGAGGCGTCCCTCAGCTAACAATGGCTCATAGTTAGCCTTCAGGCAAACGAACGAACGGACGTATGGCAAAGTCTCCTGACAATGGGCACACGAACGATCGTCATGGTAATCCTCAGTAATGCGCCCAACAGTTGACTCACAATGAGGCTCGCGGGGAACATATCCTCGATGGGTGTGCGAATACCTACCAATGCCAGTAAGGACAGAAAGGAGCAATTGACATCCTTGCGTCCAATAGCGACAATGAATGGTAGTGATCTGACATGACTCGAAGAACAACACGACGAGCAATATGATGAAATTAGTCAAGTGATCACTTTCAACGTCGCAACATGTCACAAGGCAATACTCGATCACAAGCAAAGTCCACACAAGCCGCAATACATCCTTAGAAGGGTGCAATAGCTTCGAACCTGAGTGTCACGAATGCCTTCAACTACCCAGCTCAACGCAGGGATCTCAACCCGTCCAATCAGCATGTTGAAAATCAAGATTTCTCTGACAATCCGGGAGCGCGTGGCTCCGAGGCAAGTGTCTGTGTCACCTTCAAGATCAATCGGAAGTTCAAAACCGAGAACTCAAGCCACAATCGAAGTGACGCGTGAAGTTCAGGGAAGAATGAACTCGCAATGAAAATACTCTGAGTGTGACAATGTCCATCAACAAGCAACATCAGGTCAAAAGAACGAACAAATGAGTGATAGTAGAATCGGAAGTCGTCCAACCAACTTGTTCGATAGTCAAACGTCATTTTGCAAGGCAGTGGGACAAGCGTGTGAATGTCAAGATTGACTTCAACGCAATCAGAGCGCCATTTGTTACATCCCGCTCCGATAGGATGTATGGCAATGCACAGAATCAATCTCATCATGCGATGAGCATCCAACAATGGCCAACAGTTTTCGCAGGAGAAACATCTCGACATCGTATGCAATCAACTTGTTGCAATGTAGACGCTCAAGTGCAACAACAACAACACACATCCACCGACGTCAGCCTCGAGACAAACATTACACACGAGAGAGTCAATTTCTTCAGCTCGATCACTGCATAGTTGCAGGTCATGCAATGTTTCAAAGCAATGACAACTATCAGTCTCTCTGGGGACAATCTCCTTGTTGCCAATGGCAACTCGAAAGTCGCAATGGCCGTGTCCTGACTCACAAGTCCTAAAACGTAACACAGACAATGTCCGAGACAGTGTCAGGCGGTCATTAGTCTTGATAGCACGAAGTTGATCTTCAAGTCGATACCGTGAGGTGGGATGTCCTTTCTCGTCGGTGTTGAACAGCCGCAATCTAGGGATGACATGTATCAATGAATGATACCAGTTCGAGCAGTGCTGAAGATCAGCAATCGCATGAAGTTGACCGAAATCCTTCATTCTCGTTGCAGGTATGCACTTCGCAATGATGGGCTCTCCGACACTTCCAGCAGAGACCTTAATCTCAATGGTGAGGTTGTTTCCAATGAGGCCAGCGCAAGAAGATGCGCACGGAGGTGTAGACACCACCAACACCAATGTACGCAACTCCCGGTCGCGAATCAATGTAAGCCGCTCTGCATGGGACTGTATTCCAAGTACAACGGACAAAGCAATGTTACTCGGAACACTGCTACTCGAAAAGTCGAAAGAACAGTAAATGACGTGATGAATGGCGTCAATTTCGAGCATGTCATTCTGCGCACATTCCTACTTACATCGGTCCCTCGGCTGGAAACGCCGACATGAATCGACAATTGAAGTAATCGACAGTTGGTACGCGGCACTGTGAACTGACAATAGAAGATGCTAGAAGCAATGACAGGGAAAAGAGTGTCACAACAGTGACAATGACAAAGGTAAAAACAATCGAAATCAGAAAGCGCGAAAGCAGAAATAGATGATCCAGAATGCTTACAATGATCAAGAAGCTCAATGTTACTGAAGCGAAGGACAATAGTGAACAGCGCCCGCGTGTCTTCAATTAGCTCTGTCTGAACTCCGTCCATGTACCTAAGCCAATGAGAAGACCTCAATGCGATCTCAGTAGAGGCGTGATGCAGTTGTTGAGACAACAGTTGCAACGCGTTACAATCTCAACTTCTCACCTTGCCTGAACTCCCAACAGGCATGTGGCTTTGCCGAGAATTTCACAATGCAACAATCCAACGCATAACATCCACCTGTCAATGCTCTAATCCTGTAGGAAATCTCATCTTCAATCCTTTCGAAGAGCAAATCAACGAATGGTTGCAGCAATCTGGAGAGCGTGATCAAAAAGCGCTCCAATGAATCATCGTTCTTCCAGTGGGACATAGACAATGTGTCCGAGGTCCTCCGAATGTCTGATTTGCACAGTGGCTGACGCAATGAATGGGCCTGATCCAACAATCCTTCAAATACGTACTGGCAGCAAACAACTATGCAATCCCTGTTGGTAATGCCGTGTTTGTAAGTCTCCTGTACTACAGTGCAATCGTCGGTCACACGAGCGGAAATACAATCTGAGTTGGCACTGAGTCCGTACAATAGTGTGCAAGTTGATCGACAATGACCAAACAACACCTTCAAGCACTCAACCAATGCAGCAGAGCAAGAAAAGCTCTCGTCAATATCCGAACGGACAGTGACAGATCGCGAGAGATAACGCAATGAAAAGTCAGTAACACAACGCTCGGGGTCGATGCAGTCGCTGTGTTGAACAGCACACTGAAGATGAAATCGATCCTCATGCAAAGGTGCTCTACGAGCAATCGGAGCACTCTTCACAACGTGCGCCTTGTCATCACAGGGAGAGTTGACAATTCCAGTGACAATGACAGCACACAACGTGAGAAGTATAATACAACTAATTCTAGATCGCAATAAATACCTGGTGGACTTGCCAACCGAGTAACACAACAATCTGTTAGGAAAATCAACATCCTCACCTGGCCGGGGTGAATAAATGATGTTGGACTGAAGCGAATGATGAGTCCTCACCATGATGATCAATCTCAGACTCTAACACAACGCTACCTCGACCGATGGCATGCTGTAGAACAGCAGAATTACCATCTCGTGGTCCATGCAATGGATCACGGAAATCATGAGAATCACTGTGTGAGTCTAACAATTCCGATTCACAATGAATGGAGATCCACGACTTCAGGCAATGCGTGCAAGTGTCCTCAATCGACTCTTGGATGCGCGCTATTCCATCTCTGAGCTCGGTGCAATCCTGTTTAACGACATCGCAACCGTTTCGCATCTTGTCTTCCAATCTTGCATCTTGCATCTCACTTTAGCCCGCTTCCCCGAACAAGACTGCTGGGCAAGGGGGCCAAGGGTGGGTTGCGCGATACCCCTAACAGATGTTAGCAGGTCGTTGCAACGCACCGGTGCTTTTGCAAATGCTCATCCATGGTGGCTGTCAACATAGCGGATCCTCGCCGCATCAATGTGAGAGTCCACAGTGGAATGGAACAACATCTGCAGGAGCAGGTCCCCGTCCACCCTTCTAGTGCCATAAAGCGCGAGCCCTGTTTGCACAAACAGCGCCGCTGTTCCTGAGCACTCACACAAAGCGTGCCGTATCATAACATCGCCTTGGTTACAGAAAGGGCAACACTCCAGCTTCTCCAAGGGCTGTGACTCAGACAGCAAACTGAGGGGCCAGGTTCCTGTCAACCTGGCAAAGGCCCATTTCTTTGCCAGTTTCCACTCTGAGCTGCGCAGCACCGGGAGCAGATGAGACCAGTTACACAACCTTCTCTGACACCCCAGAGCAAAGAAATCCAACCCCAAACCAACCAGGAATTTTGAAGCAGCCTTTTGGAAATCAGCATCGTCCCTGGCTTTCATGATTGGCATGAGAGTGTTCGTCTTGTACAACTTAAGGAGGTTCTTTCGGACTGCATAGTCCCCCCTGGCCCGTTCCAGCATCTCAGCTGGGCACAAACCAGCATCTGCTATGTGAGGGAGGGCTCCAGTTGCACTGACACTTGCTAGCTGGTGCCTCAATAGCTCCACTGCATGCCACCAGGTACCAGCAGGCAGAGATTTGGCAATAGCCAACATGACCGCTGTAGGATGCTCACGCGGTAACAGTTGTATCTTGGCAATGATTGAAAAGATCCTCAAGAGAACCTTGGATGACAGCCTCAAAGGCCAACCTAGGAGAGCAACCGCAAGGGAACCTCGCAAGGAAGACCCAGCCTTGCCTGCTAAAATCGTCTTGGCCCAATCACCTTGCAGCGCGTCCAGTTTTGGCAGCACTTCAGGGGTCAAGGCGAAAAGCTCGGATGCGTACAGCACCACTGGCTCGACCCTCTCAATGACAGCTGCTGCATGTACCGGCGGCGGCAAGCCCATTTCCCTCATAAGTAGCGAGAGTTCTTCAAACAAAGCCTTCCCATTTGGACAGTCTGCTTGGCACGCTTCGCAAAGGAGAGTTGGGAATCAACCGTGACCCCGAGCAGTTTGTAGGACTCACAGGCAAGAGCAGCAAGGCTAGTTTGAGGGGAGTCCATGCAGCTCAAAACTGCCGTCTTGGTAGGTCCCATGTTGAACTGAGCGTTTGCAAAGCGAGAATACGCCCCAAGCCCATGTACCACGGCATGCTGGACATCACGATCGGTAGCAAACGGCGTCACCACATCGTCCACAAACAGCAACGGGCCAAGGGCAAGGGACCCCATCATCTCTACACATTGCGCGCGTTGCTGACGATCACGTACATTGGAAAGCAAATGAATTGCGAGTCTGCGCGTTTCCGTCGGCGATGGTGCCTGGGTGACAGCCGTTGCAATTTGCTGCAAGCTGGGCTGCTCGCCCAACCCACTCAACAAGGCATCATTTGGTGCAGGGGTTAGGGCCGCCCACAACCCTGAGATGGCATCTGCAGCAAAATCCGGTAGCAAAGTCTGCGACGGGGAGCACTGAAAGAGCAGAATGTCTCCAAAATGCTTAAGCAAAGCCGTAAACACATGGACACTGAATTTCCGACCCTGCGGGATGCCCGCCCGAAGCGTCAACGTCTGAGACAAGAGTCCTGCCAGCATGATGTTTGCGGTGTCCATTGCAAGAAAATGGCAAAGCAGACGCCACTCCACCTCAACCACCCCTGCCAAATACGCGGAAAAAAGCATGCCGTCATGACTTGCGGTGTCAAATGCCTGTTGAATGTCAGAAAAAAGCAGATAGGTATCAACGCCCTGGTAATGCCTGATTTGCACATGAAGAATTACCGCTAGAATGACCAAGACGGTGTCCATCTTGCCACCCAACTGCCTCAGGTCAGTATAAGCTTCCAGTTGCTGCTTGCATCTCGCTAGCCACAAGGCATCCTGGACAGCAGCCATATCTGCCGTGAGGCTGATGGGCCTAAGGCAGTTCAGCTTTCTGACAACACGTGGTCCAGACTTGCGGAGTGGATTGATTCGTCGGAAGCACCAGCTAGTAGCCGTAACCTCAGCGGCCCTTGCCAGGTTGACCAAGGCCAATGTAAGCTCACGGGCCTCAGGGACCGAGGCTTTAACTGCAGCCAGCGGACCGTGAATACATTGCTTACGAGCCTGAATAAAGGACAAAGCTTGCTCCAGCTCAGAAAAATTGTAAAGGCAAGGGTTGCTGGCTGTCGTCAACCGCGGCCAGGGTGGCAGGCCTGGAAGTCCTGCTGCTGGAGCCTTCGCTTGCCTAATGCCTCGAACCGCCTCGCGGACCCAGCAGTGTTCAGATCTATCCTGCGCTGGGTCAACATCCGCGCGTGCTTCCAAATCATCTGCAATCCTTGCTGAAATCCTCCATCAACATCTTCTGATTCCTCAATACCTTCACTATCTCCGGTGTATTCCTGAATCGCAACTCCATGGAATTCTTCAATTTCCTTCTCTTCGTCGACATCTCTCCAGTCATGCTTTCAATCTCCTCGAAATCCCCACTCATAATCTCAGTCGACCTTTCATCACTCTGACAATCTTCCTCGACTTCCTGATGGTCAATCTCCGGATCTCTCCTAGCAAGTCCTTCATCACCTTCCTTCCAGACTTTCAATCCTTCTTGAACCTCAATACTCTCTTCTTTCCTACTCTCTTTCTCCTCATCTCTTTTCTCATCTCCTTCTTTCTCTCGTTCCTCCTCTCTCAATGCCAGTGCAATCAGGTCCAGCAACTGATGCTGAGTCTGTGGCAATCCCAATGACCCTGATACAAAGCGGAAGCGTCTGCAATGTCGCCTGATTAGGCCGACCGCTTGATCGAATGTCCTCAGTGAATCCTGATTCAATCGAAGAAAGCCAAGCAATTCACCTCAGCCTTGCAAACAAGCAATGCCACAAGAAAATCCTTTTGCAATGCTTCTCCACCTATCTCGTCATATCTCTTCTTCAACACAATGAAATCCGTGAAATCTTCTTCGAAGGACTCTACGAAAATCATGCTCCAAAATCTGACTCAAAATCTCAATACCTTTCTCTCTCTTCGTAAACGAAAATCGTTCATGCAGCAATCTCCAAGCCTCAACTCCATTTCCTAGTTCGCTAGCTCTGACAATGTCACGTGCATGTCCAGTGGTGGTTTCGACAATCAGATAGTGCAATCTTAATCTTCTTGAAAGATCAAACAATCTCCTCCTTGAAATGCCCTTGCTTCGAAAAAGGAATGACCATGCAATCATCAAACGGAATGCTAGAACCTTCTGCATATTCCATAATGTCAATGATGCTCGGACAATGAATCATGACGCACAGTTTGAACTGCCATCTCTAATCTTCCCAGCAATCCTGATCACCTGAAAATAGTGCGGGAGGTGACAATCGCATTTCTTTGATCACACGTCGAATGCACAATGTTCTTCTCCACGAATTTGTCTAGAGTCAATAGATGCCCTGGGTTTCGCCGCAGGGCTTCGCTACCATACAAAATTCACCGGTCGTTTCAAGACTCGTCAGGAGTGCGCAATGATGAGTCAACAATCACTCAAGATCAAACAACTCATTCAGCTCCAGAATGCAATGTCTGAGATCTTTTGCCAGGGGCAATGAGCCAGTCTTGAGCCAATGCCGAATATCAGGCATTGATGTTCTTAGGTCCAGAATGGGCTGAACAATGGCCCCTCCCTCCCTCCCTCCCCTCTCCCCCTCCCCCTCTCCCTCTCCCT